AATTGGATTCTGAAATGGCCTTATACTTTAGGATCTTGGTAACAAGTCTGTTGTTGATGATTTTTGTAAAAATTTTTCTACTTGTTTTGATGAGTGAGATTGGGTATGTATCTGTAAGGTTATGTGACCAAACAATCTTTTTTGATAACAAGGTAATTGTCGATTGCTTCCAAAATTTAGGAGGATTTTTAAGTGTTTTTTAGCTATTATGCTGATATGGTTCAGGATTTGTATAGGATGAAAGTAAGTCCAGGTACCTTTCGCTTGGGCAGATTGGCAAAAGCTTCCTTCATCTCTATGTCTAAAATAGGTAGTATAAGATTGTTAAAGACATTGTCAGGGATATGGTTAAGCAGTTGGTAGGAGATATTCTATTTATTATTCAGGAGAAAAGGTTTTGAATCTAAGATTTTCTTGAAGTGGTTAGAGATAATAACTGTGAGCTCATCCGGATCATCATGAAGTTGATCGTCACTATCCATAAGTATTGAGAGATTGAGAAAGGACTTTAGGTTACCTAGTGCTTTTTTGAGAGTGTTTTTTGGTTTGGCCCAGAATCTATAATAATTTAATTTGATTCCTTCTATATTTCCAGAGTGATGATTTCATTAAGTTTGACTAACTTTTCTTTAATTAAAATTTTTAACAATTTTTTGAAATCTTTGGTGCATGAGGATTTACTAGTGATTTTTTGAAGAGCTGTATCTGCAACTTTTGAAAGTTTGAAAATGGAATTATTGTTATAATTGTTTTTTCTTTTGTTAATTGCTTTTTTTGTGGCTTTTATGGCTCTAGTATAATGTTTCAGGGGGTCAATGTTTTGTGTGAAGACTGTGCATGATCTTTTTGAAATGTTGTTGTCAAAAAGAAGTTTTAATAATGTTATTCATGAAATCCCAAATTGGTGAATTGATAGTTTGATAAGCTAGTTCAATATCCTCTTGAAAGGCTTTAATATTTTCAGGACTAGTCTCTTTTAATTGATAAATATTAGTATTGAAGCCTACTCTATTAGGCTTGTATTCAAACCAGTTCAAAATAGTTGTTACTTGTTTATGGTCAGGACTTATAGCTAGTTGCTTATGGACTTTGTATGAGAGTACTTTGCTTGTTAGGTTGCTAGTGATCTATACTTGATTGATTCTGAAGGCACTGGTGCTAGTAAAATGTATGTAGTATTTCTTTTTATTCATAACTTTGGTTACATCGATGAATTTGTTGAGGTAGCAGTAGATATATCGTTTATGTGCTGTTGTTAGGGCATTAATATGTAAAGCATATATTGGATATGTATTAAAGTTTCCTATAAGAATTAAGTACTTGTTGGAGTGGTTTTTGATAAAGTTTTTAAGCATTTTGACAGTTGTTTTTCTTGAGCCTGGGTCATGGAGAAGATAGCAAGAAATGATAATGATATCTACTTTGGATTTGAACTTGAGATGTGCAGCATACCAGAATTCATTAATGATAAATGTTTTGAAAATGTGATTTGAGATTGCTTTGGTAAAAAAAATAGCTGCTCCATTACTATCTATAATAGTGGGAAGGCTGGAAATAATGGTTATATTATTTAAGATTGAGAGCAGTGGTTTTGACTTTGTCACTTTTGTTTCAGAGCAGCACAAGATATGCCTATATATATTACTGAAATTTGTAGATCCTTGATGCAATTAATTGAGTCACTATTAAAACATATAAATAATTGAGTCATGACACAATTTTTTTTGAGGATTTTGGGAATTGAGTCAACAGCAAAATAATTTACATCACATGTATAGATGTGCCTTTTGCTTGTCATAGTTCTAATCAGTTCCTAGTGTTTTGCATTGTCGTTGAGTTTTTGAATGTTAAGTATGGTTTTGTGATGAGGTTTTTGAGGTTGCTTGTTATTGCAGATAATAGCCTGGTTGTGGTTGTGGATAATGAAGAAGTTGTAGATAAAAGACTATTTAAGTTGAGTAAAAATGATTGACTTGAGTTGGATGATATTGTATTTATGATTATATAAGTTTGAAAAGGAGAGTCAGGTCTGGGTCAGGTGACTTTGATTCGGTTACAAATTCAGTAAGTAGTTTTTCAAAGTAAAAAATTTTTCTGAGTTTGATTTTGTTGGTGAAAGTTACATCCTTAATTATGGAAATGGATAGTATAATGTTTTGTGATTTGAGTATTTCTTATGCCTCAGTTAGATTAGAAAGATCAGGTAGAATAGGTGAGATCCATTCTTATGGGATTTTTTCCAGATAATTATCTTTGATTTTCCTAATTGTTAGGTCAAATTCTGGGGGGTTTCTATTTAGATTATCACTGGAAATGCCTAGTTCCTCTTCAACTTGTGAGAACTTAGCTGGGAGGATAGGTTTTTTTGATTGGACAAGATCTTCTTTGATCCATTTGGGACTTAGCAGAAGTTTAAAGAAGAATTTGCTTTTGAGCTATTTAATGAATTCTCCAACTTTGTCTTGTTCAATAATGGATAGGACATTGCCATTGTTTTCGTTGTACCAGTAAACTGGTGGAAGAGGTTTCTTGGGTTTGATGAAGTCTTGTGTCAGCTTTTTTACTGCATACATATCATCTCTCAAAATTTGAACTACTTCTTGTATTCTTTCTGGATCATTGTCGACAGGAAAATAAGAGTGAAAATACTTAGAGAGGTCTGTATATAATGGAGAAAGGGATTGTTTGGGTAAAGGAAGATTAAAGTAGGCTTGGGGGAGTTTGCTTGAAACATAATAATAGTCTCTCAGTTTGCCTACAAATTTGCGCAGGTTCCTTAGGTCGGTTCTGTTTGTAAGAGGGAAGATATCATGAAGTTTTTTTTTAAGGTTAGTTGGATTTTCTGGAAGGTCTGGCCTTTGTACAAAGAAAGAGGATAGGAGTAGATTGAAGTTATAATATGCTCTAAGACACTCTGCCACTTTTCTGGTGAATTTTGATGAGGTGATGGAAATGGCTTTAAGTAGTTTAATTTTAATTGAGGCTGGAATGTCACTAGGTGACTCAAGAAGATTGGGCAGTTTCATTTTGATATGTTCTTCATATTTGTTGTATAATTCTTAATAGTCTATTTTAGTAAGTGCAGGATCAAAGAAGAAGTTGAAGCTATACTCCAAGAGTTGAGCGACTTGCCAGAATTTTAATTTTGTAAGGTCAGTTGATCTGAGGTAGGCTGTGAAAAATGCTTTATTAATGATTACACAAATTTTTTTCTTGGTGGTTTTAGTAATATACCCAATATTATTTGCTTTAAGGTAGTTTGCTTTGAACTTGTTCTCAATGTTTTCATATTTTTGTTGATATTGTCCTTTGATTAATTTGCTTTTTGTGAAGGTTTTGAAAAAGTCTCTGTCTTTATGACTGATTTTTGAGAAGATAGCCTTTAATTATAATCTGGAAGGATCTTTAGGATTATCCCTAAATTTGATAAAGAGTTTGAGTATATCTTCTGGAGTTCTGGAACAGACAGTTATCTCTTTGCAGTATGTGAGAATCTTGATTTGTTTATTTTCTGAAGTGCTGTTGTAAATGTCGCTATTGGATTGGCTATTGGTTGTGATTGATAGTGTGGCTTCAGTTTCATCAATCCAGGAGGAGGGGCTAGTTATGGGTTGCATGTGTGGCTTGATTTCTGTGGAGAGATCATCAATTTCCATTTCAATAATATTTTGTGTATTGCTCAAGTTAGTGTTATTCTCATGTAAGGATATAGGGATGCATACATTACTTGTTTTGTGTTTGTATGGATTGTGTACTAGGTTATTGTCCAAAGATAGTATAGGTTTAGGGGTTAGTCGATGCAGTAATTGTTGCAGAAGAAGAATCAGGCTGCATGCTATTGTTGTCAATCATTTCCTCTGCAGGTGCAGGTGTGTTTGGTGAGAATAAGGGTGTCCTGGTTTTTCTTTCAAGAGTAAAAGTTTTATTTTCTTCAAAGGTATTGATGTTGAGTTTCTTTCAAGGGATATGCAAGCCATAGTTGAGATCATATTTCATAACCTTTCTTATGATATCTGTTCTATCCTCATCTGTTAGTTTGAAAGTATGTTAAAATTCCATGAAAGAATTTAAGTCTTCCAGGGGCATTGGTTTTGGCAGAGTTATAGTAACATGCATAAGTATAGGTGATAATCTGATTTTTTGATGTTTCTTAAAAATAGCGCTAATGATGTTAGCACTTTCTAGTTTACTTTGTAAAGAGTGGACAAGTGTTATCCATACTTTTGAACAGTTTCCCAGCCTGAAAAGGTGAATTTATTGGGCAGGGGTGGAGGCAGAAATTTTATTTATTTTAGTGTTTCTATAGATAATGATAGCTTGAGAGCTTTTAATGTTGGTGATAAGTATGTCGAGAAGAATGTGTTCATAGTTGATTATTGAACCCTTGAGAAGGGAAGACTCTCCAAGGTCCTTTGCTTTTTTTTTCCACAAAAAAAATTTGAGTTTTCTAATTTAATAATTTTTTGCAATGCGAGTATATTTGGGAAAGAGTTTTTTATTGTTAATATAATTGTATTGTTAATATATTGATACAATAGCTTACCAATGAATTGTGAACACTTTTGAATTTTTAATTATACAATATTGGACAAATAAATTTTATATGAAATTTTTGTCATATATTTGATAACTTCTGGGTTATAATATACTAAAATTTTATGTCATTTGATTATATTGTGCAAAGTTATATAATAAGCAAGACAAATTACTGTTTTTAGGTTAGAGCAAAAATCAATTTTCTTTTTTTCTTTAAAAAAGTTTTTTTTTCAGTTTTTTCTTCTCAAGGTTATTCGTGGCACTTAGCTAATACTACTTTAAACAAAAAAGATAGGTTTGTATAACAAGTCAGTTGAAATTAATATAAAATGAGATTTTTTTTTTCACAGTAATCGATAGGCAGCAAGAAAGATCTAATAAAGGTTCAATGAAGTTTTATAGTCTATAGTCACTTATGAGGAGACTTACTTCACACTATTGTCACTGTTATTAGTTACAGTAAATCAGCTGTATGGAGTATTGTAAAGAAGTTTAATAGCTTGGGTACTCCTGGGACACAAAAAAAAAATCTCTGTCCCAGATGTTCTTCTTCCCTCACCCCTCTGATCAATCAAATCTAAAGAAGCTAATTGTCAGTAACAATAATTGTCACTTAAATCTTACACAAATCACTAACCTCTATTATATTAATATTATACATGTTTTCTTATTATCATAAAAGAAAATTTGATCAATAATACAATTCTGAATTAAATATGATTCCTAATTACTTACTATTGGTTACTTGGTAATACAAACATAATACGGTTTTTAAAAAATATTTGAATTAAATACAAACACATATATAATTAATATACTGTATATGGATAGTAATTAATTATCAAGTAACAATTTTCTTGAATACTGTTTAGTATTATTAATAAGGATAGTATTTGAAAAGGATATTGTATATAATAGTATATAATAGTTTTTGTTTATTTGTTTTTTCTTTTCTATCTATTTATTTCTTTTCTTTTGTCATTTTTTTTTCTTATTTATTTGTTTTTTTTCTCTTGTTTTTTTTACCTATTAATTTTTATCCATTTGTTTCTCTTCTACTTATTTGTTTCTTTTTTTTTATTCACTCCATTTATTAGTTTTTGTTTATTTATTTCTTTTCTACTTATTTGTTTCTTTTCTCTTATTTGCTCTGTTCATTAATTTTTGTTCATTTATTTTTTCTCATTTATTTGTTCATTTCTTTTCTCTTGTTTGTTTTACACATTAATTTTTGTTCATTTGTTTCTTCTCTTCTATTCATTTATTTCTTTTCTCTTGTCTGTTTTATTCATTAGTTTTCATTTATTTATTCTTTTTTCTTATTTACTCTGCTTATTAATTTTCGTTTATTTGTTTTTTCTCTTCTATTTATTTATTTCTTTTCTCTTGTTCACTCTGCCTGTTAGTTTTTAACCATTTATTTTTTCTCTTCTACTTATTTATTTCAT